AGCGACGCAGTAAACCGTACGTTTACACCAGAAAACATAAAATCAAGTCGCACCACTCCCAGCCAGAAAGATGAAACAAACGTAAAGAAGCAGGCAAAGGGGTGATGCAGACCCGATGATTCTTGAAAGCAATTCTTCCGCCTTTTCCAAAACTTTCAACTCTGAACCGGTCCAACCCATCACATCACAAATATTGTTAGGCTCATCCATGCTGGCCACTGCTGATACCCAACAAATCTGAAGATGGGTGTATTTTGTGAGGTACCTTAAGGTCTCTTGCCTTTGGACTCCAGTGTCAAATGTCGTATGCCGTGGTACCAGTGTAATTCAACACTGACAGATTTGTCCTTTCGATATTCATTCACACCATCGTGTGGTCTGACATGAGTGCCTGCCGTTGCAAAATATTTCTTTTTGTAGGCAGTGGGATTGTTACTCATTGACTCCAATTCAAAGGACTCTGTTTGCGTCATTTTACCTTGGCGCGGAGTCGGGCTTCAGTACCATTTCATACGACAGCGTGATTTGACACCGGACTCAAACATCTGTTAGCGCAAAATGACGCTGGCAGATTCATGCGCATGATGCAACATTATTTACAACCATTGCCACCGGAGTCAGAATCGAATGGGAACTCTTAGGTATCTCCCTAATCACAACCTATTTCAGTAAATTTTCGGTTGGCAGGGTAAACGGTTTTATGCGCAGGAAGCAGACGTAATTGGCCTTACAGTATTAACTCCGCTCTGCTGACTAAGGACTAAATTTGGCCAGCGAACGACCGCGCGCACCGTTTTATGCTTGGCATTGTGTTCGAGATGGCAGAGAGGCCTGGGATACCCACTACCGCCGCGAATATGGCAGCAATACCCATTGCGATGAAGGTTACGTTCATGATTTGCACATTTGTGACGAGCTCTGCTGCACAAGCACCGCGGCACTTATAATGTGCTCCTCACATGTCAGGAGTGTGACACATCTGACGCAGATAACATAGACAGTGCGGTGGTCCTCGATGCTTTGTACGAATTGCGATAAAGACTAGTCCAGGGACCTTTTTCATAAACTGATACGTCTGTGGAAGGAAAAATTACGTGCAAACGCCTATGATCCAACGCTTTTAAACCATGTCACACGAGGAGTAAATGCCACTGGCTCACGCAGTACATAAATTACAATCATGAGTGAGTTTTGCTTTACTTTCGTTTAGATGATTTTTTCGCCGGATTTCATGCATTCTTAGCCCATTTCATTCAATTCCGTCCTATTCCAGGCAAGCCCTAGCTCAACGAAGCAGAACAGCCAGTTCTTCATTGGGGTATTAGGTGTGATTTGCCATTTTCTTGAAAGTCGCTTTCCAGATCTCGGCACTCGGGCATAGCTGATCAAGCTCTGCAGGAACGCCAGGTGGCACATGGCAGATTTGGCCGCCGGTGGAGTGCAGTGTCGTGCCGCGATGTTCAGCACGACAATGGAGGGGACGGAAAGCTTGAATGCCCCAAACTGTTTATCATCATGGAGAGCTGGTCGCAAAGCAAGAACATCGTGGGAGATCGCGGACATTATATGTCTCATAATTTGCGGGAAGGAGGAGGGCATCTGAATAGAGAAACGTAATTTCTGGCGGAGGCCTTTCGCCAAAGAAAACGATCATGATCGTGAGCTTCGAACACTCATCACGATCATCGAGCGATTCGGTATCGGCCAGCTTCTCAGAGCGTAAGGCGACGACACTCTCCGTTGAAGGGAGCAAAGTCTCTAACCAGCACCCGCGCCGGGTCTTCCCGCATAATTAACTCAAACTGGCTCCTACCGACATGCCTCCGTCTCCTCTTCATGCGCTTGAACAAGATCTGTGGCCCCCAAGATGGATAGATCTACGTTTGGAATCCCGCCCCCGCCACCAACTCGAGGACAATGTGACGGCGACCAAAGCGAAGGAACTGCCCCCCCCCCCCCCCCCCAGCACCTGCCGCAAAAGCATGCGTGGTTCAGCACTTGTCCAGCATTGTTGCAAGTGATATCGCGTCCCATTCCGACGACCTTGTCCGATACCTCCAAGCATTCCAAACTATGCGCGACAGCACCGGCTGTCGCTGCTTCCGTTCCCTTGGGAGCTTCGGAACCGGAGGAGCCTGACGGTGCCTTATTCACCGGTTATATTCGCATAGCGTCAAAATCCGCCCTCTTTTTCCATCGTCGGGTGGCATCTTGCTGTCTCAATGGACCACCATATAGGGGTCACCGGCTAATTAGGTGACGCCGAGGAATAATTGTCCGATTTCCTCTGCGATCTGCGCGACCGCCTAATCGCCTCTTTTGATCGCCAGTCCGGAAGAACCGCGACCGAGAGTCGAAGCTGTCGCCGACGGGAGGTGGAACACAGAGCCGCCACTGAGCTTGCTCCGATCGAGCTCTGTTGCCAGACCAGAAAACAGGATGTTCGCGGGTGTCCTGCAGGGCCGCTTCGAATGAGAATGCATGGCGAATAGTTGCGGATCACATTCACCTGCCCCTTGTGTGCTGTCGGTAGACGAGGCTTTGATTTGGACGGCGGCCTCCCTCTCGGCCCGCTCCTCAGTCTGACGTCGCATCCTTTCTGCAGCCGGCAGTCGTCGTCCTAGACTCGGTTTCTGTTACCCAGAAAGAAGCCTATCGAGTCTCATCATGAAGCCTCGGCGGCTTGGCTCCTATGGGGGGGGGGGGGGGGGGGTGGGAAGTCAATGTTTTCTTGGATCTTGCTTATCTTGATGATGTTGATATGGGCGATGTCAAGACGCCTTTGAGACTTCACCTGAATGCCTTGTCCTTCTTCTCATGCGGGATGTACCGGGATGCATTTGCTGTTAAGGGCAACGCGGAACTGGTCAGGCTTCCTGGGATTTCATTTATCGCGTTCCTCTATGGCACAGAGGTAATGCAGGCCTTGCCCAAAACCCGTATCGGCTTGCAGACGATCTGAGCTTTGGTCCTCCATTACGGTATACGCGTAAGCTTATCCGCACGGTAAATTTGAAAATAGCGCTGCAGCAAAACTTCCACGTTGACGTTTTATTTCCTGGAAATCGACCGAGATACCGCACATCCAAATGCCGTTGGTGTTCGTAGCAAGTGCGACAGTGTCACAGCCTTCAATCATGAAACGTGGTTTGTGGACTGACGCAGTTCATCTGGGACAGTCCTCAACTATCCCAATAGTAATGCACGCACGAGATGTTACCAAACACCTCAAGTGCGCATGCGCCCCACACAGAGGACAGTAAATAAAAAAGCACCTGCAACCGTCGCAACCGACGGTTGTTCGCGATGACCCCACCCTTGTTTGCCCCACCCCCACCACCTTTGTAGGCGTCCTGCAAGGGTTGGCGCGTCAGAGGGAAGGAGGGGGGGGGGGGGGTTGCAGAAGGAGAGAGAGTATGTTTTCACCCCTAAAAAAATTTGGGGGTTTCTTTTTCCCGCCAACCGAAGGTTTTGTAGCCATACGTGTGTTACCAATATTCAAATCAAGGAGGCCACCATATCTGGCCTAGCTGTGCTGACTCGGGCCCAGAAGACCCTCGTCTGTATCAGAAGGCCCGTCTTCCAAATCCGGAGACCTCGTTTATGGATTAATTAGCCCATGTTCTCGATCAGAGGGTGCCACTTTGTGTTAAGAGGGTCTCTTGAACGAACTGGGTCCCGTTATGATCCGCCCATTATGTATAAGGGGACCCCCTGTTCCAAATAAGGTGGCGTCCTGATTTTGTCAAAAGGCCAATATTTTGAAACCAGATGCCCCTTTTGTGGGCCAGAAGGCCGCCGATTAGATAGGTAGTTCCTCTATGGACTGGATGGCCCATCCCCTGGATTAGGAGACCGTATTTTGTGCGAAGGAGGTCCCTTTCATAGCTTGGGAGACCCCCGTACTAAAAAGGACCTGTTCTGAGTAAGGAAGCACGCTCTTCATATCGCAGGCACTTAGCCTGGAACACCTTCATATGCTGGAACAGAAGGACCCTTTGCCAGAGGACAACTGTTAAGTATCAGGAGCCTGCTCGAGGATAATGAGGCCATTTGCAGGATTTTTAGACATTCTTTGGTAATCGGTAGGGTCCTGGTCTGCATTACGGGGCCCCTCTATACAGAATAAAGTCATTTGCTAGAACAGGAGACCCTATTTTGTGATAGAGAGGCCATTAACTGACTCAGGAAGTCACGGTATTAATCAGAACGCTCCTATTCTGAGTTGCTTTAATTGACATTCATCCATAAAACTAGGTAATGTAAAGAATCACTAACGGAGGCACGTCTCCTCTCCTTGCCTTTAATACGGCAATGGAGACCCTGTAAGGAGGCGCCACTTTGCCCAGCAGACCCCTGGAAAACCCTGCCTACTCCGCCAACGCAAAATATGTAGCGCTTCCTGAAAAGTCGCATGGAAGCCGACCATTCTCACGACCTACCGGCTGTGATGGGTGACGAGAAAATATCCAGAACTCGCCAGGGGCGGGCGGGGATGAGAAGAGAATGGGCCCGGATGCAAAGTGTTACTCTTGAAAGTAAGTCTTATCAGTGCTGCAAAAACGGAGGCCTAATTTAGTGGAATATTCCTTCTGCAAACAAACAGCATCTTTGGTGCTCTGAATACCCTACCACACGACTTATTTTGAACTAGCGGTAACGTGCCAGTGGTCTTCATGTGAAACCTACCGTGACCCTGCGGTGATGTCACCGTCCCCGTTGTTGTGGAGCAGGGATGGGCAGAGGGGCGGGGAGCAAACACAGCGTGGGTGCCGGCCGGTCGCCGCCGAGGGCCTACCGCTGTGGAGAGGGGGGGAGGGGGAGGGCAGACAACGCGGGTGCCGGCCGGTCACCGCCGAGGGCCTACGGCTGTGGAGCGGGGGGAGGGGGAGGGCAGACAGCGCGGGTGCCGGCCGGTCGCCGCCGGGGTCTGCCGCTGCGCGCGACGCGGCCTCGACGTCGACCGGCGACGAGCGCGGCTCACACACCGGCCAGCACGTGCGCGGACGTCGCAGGAGCGGGCCAGACCACCAGGGGACCACCAGTTGCAGCCCGTCGTCCGACCCACCCTCCCGGCACAGGTGGGTGTTGCCCCCACGGACCGCCTGAAGCGCCCCGGAGGGTCGAGGTGGGGTAGGTGCCTGCAGCGTGGCATGTTCTGCCATCATTGCTTGGCCTAGACCCACAGACCGTCGTAGGTCACGTTTGAATGCTTTTACTGATCTGTGGCGGGGAGCCGTAGGAACACAAGTCCCCCCCTTCCCCGCTGGCCATTTCACATCAGTTTGAGCAATTTGTCGGCCACCCGTTTGGCCCTCACTTGTGTGCGGCGGCCTATGTCGATTTTATACAACTGCGTTTGATTTTTTACAGATGCATCCCAACGCTTACAGGCTAGAGCTTATGTCCGGGTGACGTTTGGTTTTTGGCATCCATGTAACGTGATTTTGCGTCCTACAACTTCTGAATTTTCTTATACATCGGATTCACACAGAATGTTAAGAGCTGAGTTGTCTTCATTCTCGGCGGGCTTTTCCAGGAATTATTTTGGCAGGCAAGATGAAGAACGACAATGCTTCCGAAAAAAGCCGTGCAGACCACTTGGTCAGGGTCGTCTTAGTGACTGTTTCCGTAACACATGTCGTCGGCTACAATCTTTCAGAAGCGTATGGTAACAATGCGATGGCCGAGGCGGTGCTAAGGGGGGGGGGGGGGGACTGGAGGCAATAGTATCATTTTGTCCGCTTCAAATATTTGGGGGGCTCCTTTTTCCAAACTGAAGGTATCGTACTTACCCGTAGATTACCAAAATACGGGTCTAGGACGCTGCCATGAGTGGATTAGAGAGAAATAAATTGGGCTAAGAAAATCCTTTTTTCGTTACGGACGCGGCCCGCTCATAGGATCATTAGACCCGTCTTTTTGAAACACGACGCTACTTTCATGAAAAAGAGAGCCCAAGCTTCGGATAAGTAGACCCAATGCTATGTTAATGATGTCTGTTTGCTGGCTGGGGAACGTTACAAACTCCCTCCGTTACGAAGAAGGAGGCCCGTGTTCTGGATCAGGAGGCACTCTCTGACCATGACCATTCTGATATGATATGGTCCATTTCTGGAATGCATCACATGACCGCGGTTCCGAAACAGGGTGCCTTGTTTCGGGATAATGGGACCCCTTAGCTAGGTATGGAGGCTCTCTTCATGAACCGGAAACATCCTGTTCTGGATAAGGAGGCCTCTCTATGCATCAGTAGGCCGTTTTCTGGAACAGGCTGCCCTGTTCAAGGATATCGCCTCGCCCCGAGGGCAGGCTGAGCGATATGAGCTGAGATAACTTATTATGCAACACCTCTACGTCCGTTCCAGGAACTCTGCTCCGACAATGTGACAAGTGTTTCACCATTGCATTCCATGCATACATGAAAAGAGTCAACTGGGCAGGAACAACCATTGTGTTCGTCAAATTTCATTCATCCATTCATTCTTTCATTCATTCATACGTCCATTCAATCATTTAATTTTTCAGTCATTCATTGAGACGTCTAATTGACATGGATTGGAAGACATCTCTGTGTTTAGTTCCAAGGGTTAAAGACATCCAAGACGCAACGCGTGAATCCCACTGGACAGCGGCCGAGATTTGCGGTCCTAATACGGGCTTTTATCACAATGCCTCGCTGTCAGAAAATGTGTGAACTTCGGCGGCATGGTATCCATTCTCTCAGTCTCGGGTGGCAAAGCTATTCAGGCTCCTGGAAGTGATTTCCGCACGGTGATGTGCAGCAGTCATTAGATCGTGTCTGGTGCTTCACCAGCAGACGGGAGGTGGCTGCCATGTTTTTGCCTGTTCGAGGCGAGATTCCCGGAACACTCGGGATCAAGGCCACTGAACGACACCGTGGGTACGTGAATGCTTTACCTTTCCGGTATTAGTGAGCGAGCTCAACCAACCATCAGCCTTGCCCGTTTGTTTGGAGGGCAACATGTCTAATGAGCATAGCCATGGTTCGGTTTTCCATCGAGTGCTGTTGTAGTAGTAGGTTTACGTATGATGCTCGTATGTGAGCTTAGCAGCTTCGATGGCATGTCGGCTCTTGGTTGGTTTGGGAGGCGATTCTTAAGCTACCCCTCCACGTTTTACAACCGTGGGTGTAAGGGAGAGCGGAAGCAAGTCGTGCGGCTTAATAGCAACACACGGCCTGAATAACGCAACGAAAACGATGCGGCAGCCAAGCCGGAGAAACAAGGGTGCCCGGATGGTTAGGGCGGTCGTATCGCAGCCTGGCAATTGTAGGGTAAGCCATAGTGACAATGCCCGTGTTGGACGGGGTCACAGGACAGTGGACGTGAAAATCTCGCATGGGACGAATTATTCACACAGCAGAAGATCGCACTCAAAGGTTTACTGAAAAAGGTGCAAAATTTGTATGTGCAAAATACCGCGAAGATCAGGGAAGGGAGGGAAGATTGCTATCAACAAAGAGAGTGCGGCAAAAGATCGTAGGACACTGGGCGCATGCAAAGTACTTATCAGGAGTACTTTGCATGCATACTTTGCATGCGCATTGCACGTAATTGCCGAAACCTGGCAAACATCTTGATCACTTATTTTGTAAAAAAACGCACAACAGCAACGACAACAGGGAGCAGATTTTGATGTATGCATGTTTCCTTTAGCTTCACAACGCATACGGATTAGTTGCTTTATTTCTATGGGTTTTGATTTACCTGATGGTCAGTTCGATTATAATCGGAATAAGATCTTTCAACTCACAACACTGAAAAGCAAGATCTCAATGCTCTCTTTGCTTATGTCGCGTAATCAAATCCAGCATACGACCCCTCCTAGTTTCGTGACTGCACAATTTACTTGTTACAAACCCGCGTGTATCCCCAGACCTTCTGACCTTGTTCTGCGGTTGGGAGAATGGTTCCAGAACGGCGGTATCAGCCTAAGGTCGCCTACTTGCCTCCAGCTGCACTTCCGCCGTCGTTGACCTCCGGTCACCCACGCTTTCCGTCCTGTGCCCTTGACAGTGGGGATGGAGAGGCACAGTGCTGCAGTGCTGCTTCGTTTTCTTCCCGAGTCATCGGACCTTACTAAATTGTACTTAAGAATCGAAGTTATACGCTACTTTTCTCGCATGGGATATTTATCTTGTGCGAGCTTTTAACACCAAATCCTTTCTCCAGTATGATCTTCTGTTTACGACTTCATCCAACACGATATGTTCCCACTAGGACCTTTATCCCGTTCAACACATCCTACCCTCTTATCCTCTTTCTTGCTTCATCCTGAATCCCCGTGACGCCCGCTTGTCCGGGTCAGGCTGCATGCACCAGCCACGAGTGGGCCGAGAAGCTCCTTGGAGGAGACCCCGACCGGACGCCCAGCGCATACCCTACGGAGGGTCCCTGCGCGGGCGAAGGTAGGCGGGTGGCCCTCCTGGCTCATGTAGTCCTACCCCACCGTTATCTAGTCTCCTTCATCCCATAGCCTTAAAATTATCAATACTGGTCGGAAGAGCTTTAAGCCAAATAACCAAATCACCCAACCTATTCATTATGAATTCCGCACAATCCGTTGTCACACGAGCTCTATTCAGACGATCCTACACCATTTTGGCACCACGATCTGTATGCCGTAACATCTTTACCTTACATAATATTTTGCCACGTAGTGCAGCCTTTTTCTCGGTTGCAGCCTCTTGGCTTCGCTTCGAGACATATCCCTGCAAAGCCCAGTCTCAACGGGGCTTTGCGGGGATGCAGAATGAAAGTGAAGTTCAACAAGGCGACGCATATTCCGTGTGTGAAAATGAGAGGTTGCTGCTTTGTAAGTGCATCGTGAACCGGCCAAGGAATATCGTAGCTGCAGTGGTGTTGTGTTCATTGCTGAGTAAAGTCGTGCTGCCTCCTGTGGCTTATGTGAAGTGGATTAAGCCATTGTCTAAGCTCATGAACATCGTCATCATTGTTGATGATCTCGTTCACGCGGTGGATAGTCTGGACCCAGTCATTTAAATACATATAAGCAAGCACGATGCGCAATACGAGCACGTACAAACCATGAAGCCAACCCACAATTTGTTTAGTCTCGGGGTTCGGCCACCGGCCTTCGCGGCGTACGGGCTAGGCGTAATCGACACACAAAGTACGCAGCCCGCGAGAAGCTGCTGAGAGACATCCGCCGGCGTGGCGTTTGAGCAGCTACAGAAGGCTATCCTAGCCTGCCGCTACACGCAGGGGCGGGCCCAGAGGCACCGAATCTTTATTCTTAAGGGGTACGAAATTCCACGGGCTTAACAACGCCCTACCTCCCAACACGATGCAATGCTGGATAGGCGCTTTTGGGCGGTGCGGGCATCAAAACCTTCATTGCAGTGCACCGTAGTCTTCCTGTTCAGGAGAGACCAAAGCCAGGAGAACTATTTAGAGAGCCGGACACCATCATGTTAAAAGGAAGCCAAAATCCAGGGAAACGGCAATTTAAAAGTTCTGGACTGGTCCGTTTGGCGAAAGGGCACCAAAAGTCTACTTTTCGGGGCATCGTGTCCTTATTTTCCAGACGCGCTATAGAGGGTCCCAAAACCTTCGCTTTGAAACGACATCTTCCAGTGGACACTTCAACGTCCGTGCCTCTCCACTGACGAAATCTTGGATCAGCCCGTCCGGCGAAGGGCACAGATCCATCATTTCGGTGGATCATAACCTTTATTTCCAAGAGACACCCGATTCAGGAGGCACGGCAACGACCCTAAAAGCTTTCTTTTCAACATACAACTAATTCCAGGCGCCGCCGCAAGATTTGTGCATCCCCACTGATGAAATCCTGGATGGGGTTTATCCTGTGACCTGGCACCAAAACTTTAATTTCGAGACACCATAACATAAATTCCCTGGAGGCATCAAATACCCGCGGGCCATTGAGAGGGCTCCGAAACTATTATTTTCAAGGAGCACCACAATATTCTCATCTTTTACCCTGGCAAAATCCTAGTCGGTCCATTAAGCTTGGGAGCACCAAAACCTTCTGTTTACGAGGCTCGGGGCAGTCATAATTTGTATTTTAAAGAAGT